AAAAAAAAAAAAAAAAACGAGATGAGCTATTTGATTTCCAAAAAAATCAATAGCAATAATTTGGTAGTTATTAGTAAATATTTAGTGCGAATAATTACATGCATATGTAATTTTTTATTAAAGTTAATGTGAAATCAATAATTGATCTAAATCTATTGATTAAAATTTTCAAAATTTTTCAATCAATTATTTTGTTTCTACTTAATTTATTTTTATTTTTATTGATATGGTATCATAAAATTTGAAGAAATATTGGTCAATAAAATTAAAATTTTGTAATTTAATTCTAGAAAATTACTTGATAAATTTGAACGATAAGGTAACAGACAACAACTTTAGAAAATTACGAGCATTATATATATAATATATTCATACATCAAATATATAAGAAAATTTAGTGTGTAGTCCAAATTTGAGTTTCAAATTCATAAGTCAAACAAGTAATTATTCATAACTTACGAGTCAACATTAACTTTGACAACGTAAATGAAATAGTCAATTATTCATAGTTTAATAAATTACTCAACCACTTCAATTTTTTGATTTGAATATTTTATATAAAAAAAATCATCTAATTAAGGAAACATTATATGATTTATAACAATACTTATTATTCACATATATTTTTAAATAGATGAGAAAAATTTACAACTTACCTATAAATTCGATTTAGAAAAATTCGATTGTGTTTTTTATTCCAAACAATCAGATTGCCAAAAATTTTTCCTTAGAACTTGAATTGAAAATTTGAAATTCAAAATCCCTTCTCATTTTAGTTGCCATAAAATTGGGTTTAATTCAAAATCTCTTCATAATATAAAAGATTTTGTTCAAATTGAATTTCAAAAATATCTAATCACATGTTTCTATCCATATCCTTAAATGAAGGATTTTGTGCCGCTTTAAAATTAACAAACCTCTTGAAAATTACAAAAATCATAATGAATTTCCATTTTTTGGGTTTCAAGCTGCACGAAATTCAAAATGGTTTAAGAATTTCAAATCAATTGAAATTCATCTCTGTAATTTTTTTTTCCATAAGTTTCAAAATTTTACAATAATTAAGTCAAATTACGAATGCATTTTTTCAAAAATCAAGAGGATAATTTTGAAAATAGACAATTTTTTTTTTCAAAATTTTCTTAGTCTCCGTTCAATATAATGTATAATCTCATTTTATTTGTAAAATTGATAAATCTACATAAAGTGTGGAATTTTATGTCTACAAAATTTCTTTTCAAGTAACTAAAAAATAATAATATTTTTGAAACTTTTGTACTCAAATTACTTAAAAGAATAATAATAATAATGTTGAAAATTTTTATACTCAAATTACTCAAAAGAATAATAATAATAATAATTTTGAAATCTTCTATACTCAAATTTTACGGTAGTATCGTCATAACTTTCAGCACCATGTCAATATTTATTTTATATATACTAGGTAAATTTTCTTTCAAAAACTTTATAATCTATTTATATAGGCTTATAATATTTTATCATGTCATATTCAGAAAACATCTTTCATACAAATGTAAACTTTAATATTTTTAGATATATTTTTTTTACAAAATAGTTTAGAAAAGTTGTAGGTGACTTCACATCTTTTAATAATAATATAGAAAGTTATAGATAATTTTACATATGTTAAATTGTTAATACAATATTTTAGTAGTTTTTATTTGTTTAAATATACAAATTTTATGTTCTCTTGAACAAGCTAATTTTATATAGTTTATAATAAATTGATATACCGTAAATTATATGACATGTTAACCCAACTTCGTTAATTTATAATTATTTTTTAATATCGTTTACCCTCATCTTTAATTTATAATATATTTTCTTTCTCTTTTAAGAGAGGATCAATAGTAGTTCCCCCACTTCTTTCATTGGGTGACTCGAACTCGATATTTATTTATAATTATTATTTAATATTGTTTACCCGTGCATCGCACGGGATACGCACTAGTATTTTATAAAAGGCGTAGCTTCACGATTATCGTTATTGCTTGCTGCAAGTAGGAAACTGATGGAATAAGGTCACGTTTTTGGGCGAGTCATTGTAAAGTTTTTCGGCATATTTTTTAGATGGTCTGTCAATAATTATCAAAGGCCAGTAATTATATTAGCTCTAATCGAAAACCTAGTTGAAAAGGTGACCCTTGGAATCACAGTGAAGTCATTACAAAGTACTGAACTTTGTTAAAATATTTATGTACTGAATTTTTTAGCGACCATCAGTTTTTGCTATGCTATCGGTTCCCCATCAACTGTTTTGATTTTCTCTTATGATCATTGAGCTTCTTTGTTATAGAAGTCAGGTTCTATTTGATTTGCATTACAGTTTTGAAAGCTAGGATGTTCTATTTGAATTTGCTATCAAATTGATTTTTAATGACAAATATTGTCACTCTACATTCTAATTTTCCATGCAAAAAACTTCCTCGTGGGCTTCCGCTTGGTTATTGACTGCGAGAATTTGAAGCTTGGCTGATCTACACCTCCAATTGTGTGTAAAAATGCTGCAAATTTGAGTTTTCTCACGCTGAATTTATGTAGGAAGGGCTTCCGCTTGGTTTTTGACTGCGAGAATTTGAAGCTTGGCGGATCTACACCTCCAATTGTGTGTAAAAATGCTGCAAATTTGAGTTTTCTCACGCTGAACTTATGTAGGAAGGGCTCGTTTGGGTCGATGAGTTATATTGATTGTTTTGTTGAAGATGTTAGTACGCGCTTAATATAACAATATAGATTAAATCAAATCATAAAGATATTGATAACCATGTTATGTTCCTCGATTCAAGCTTTATGAACAACTACAAAGCAACAATATCCATTAACTTAATGTCCCAAATTACAAATACCGTGAATAAAAATACACCGATTAAAGAAACGATTCCATATAATTGATCAATGAAAATTTATTAGGCATAATATTATACAACAATAACTGAAAATCTCACAAGCAAAGTTCTTTAAATTTAATACACACACTAAACCTTAATAACGGGTGTTATCAAAAACCCAAGGCTCGTGCGCAAAAAGCTCACGACCGTTCATTTGAACCAGTCCTGAAGCTATGTCCTCAGCACGTTTTCTTTCCGCTTCAGCTTTTCTGGCAGATGTGTCGGCAACCTGCAAAAAACAAAGTGCAGAAAGGCATGAACTTTCGAGAAAACTCAATAGAAGTAAAATAAAGTCCAAGACATAAAAACTTGCTGACCTCCTCCCAATGTACTATTACATTTCAAAACCAAATTCCACGTACATTTCTTGTTTCTTTCCAGTAAATGGTCGCTAACATTCATTAAGCACATTTTGAAGGATCGAAATCCATTCACTAGAAATCAACTAATGTGGCCTAGATTTAAACAGAAATCGACTACAATAGAAAAAAATTGTATAAAGTTATTTGAAGAGCTATCATGAACTTCTTTAGCTAAAAATTGATGGCCTAAAATGCCAACTTACCATATTTCAGTAAAGTGCCAAGTAAGTACTCGAGATTCCATATTGTGTTGATTAAAAAGAACATATTTTGTATAGTTACATCGACACCCACTCAACTGTGACGAAACAGATATTACCCAATCAAATCTAAAGCTTCAAATATAAGGCCATTTCTTTTCTTTGAGCAAGAAATATAAACAAGAACCAATGCTCTATAGTCAGAAGATTCGACCCTAGTGATGATTGTTGTGCAGTCACGAAGTCACCAGATTTTTACAATCGGATCAACACACATACCCACATGGGTGTGTGTTGGATCAACACACACTTAGTCATACGGTGTGTGTTAATGTGTGTTGATCTAACGGTGAAAAACCCGGTGACTGCAACGGGTGAAATCTAGCGTCAGAGGCAAATAGAAGAACAAATTAAATCAAAGAATCACTGCCTCCTAATTCACATTTCCAAAACATAAAAAGCCAAATGAATACACATATGTTCATCTACTGATAGCCAAATGAATACACATATGTTCATCTTTTTAATCAGTAGTGTACACGAACAATTCCATCTTCGTATCTCATCGGAATCCATGAAACCTAAAACAAATTACGGATTCTCAGATTCACTTCGCCCAAGTCGTAAGAAATTCGAACAATACAACCTCTGAATTCAGATGTTACAAAAGAAAATCCGAGCAAAAAAATGCTAAATTATGAAATTCCCCTTTTCTAACTTGCTGACTCGTAAATCACGCATAAAATTTCCTCAATCAGAAAAAAAAAAAAAAAAAAA